AAGACAACCTAACTATTATTCCTAAGTCCAAATACCTTGCACTTGGCAACGATGAGTACGCTTACCTGGAAGAAGCCTGTCAGCCACTTACCGACAATATCCAGCTGTGCAAGCTTCTGGACACCAGAAGAATTGAAGATGCAGATGACTGCATACCGTCTCTCATTCAACATCGCCCAGCAAACTGTACACACGCTAAGATGAACTTAAGAAGAGGAAAAGTTCAGAAGATTGGAGATAACAACTGGCTACTTGTTCTCAAAGAAGATGAAGTTATCAAAACTCTATGTCAAACTAAAACAGATTACAAAAAGTTATCTGGAATCTATCTTATCACTCTCACAGAAGATTGCCAGATGAACGTCTTAAACAAAACTCTGCGGTCTCACACGGACACTGTCGTCATTAATGAAGTCATACCTTTACCGGAGCAACATCAAGTTTTGCAACAATCTATACAGTACGAGCTGCAGTTAGAAGACATCTCACTGGATAGCATCCACGAACTTATAAACAAAGCAGGCGACATCTCCGTGCCAGAAGATGACGATTGGCCAACTATCACAGCATCACCTAGCTGGACCACAATCGTACTCTACATACTACTGATATCTGCAGCATCCTGGAAGCTGTATCAATGGAAAATCTCCAATAATAAGAAAATCCCGGAGGACACCAAGGGCAGCGAGGACGCAGCCAGAAGCAAGAGTTGCTTCTATCCTATGGAGGGAGGAGTTAACTCATCGTAACCCACCATTTCGAACCCTTTTGATGATATAGCAGCTAGGGCTTTATGCAACTCAGCATTTACTCAATTTACAATTGCATTGTATAATGACATAGACCAGTCTAATCGCGATCACCAGCTAAATAACATCCTGTATTGACTAATTAATATAATTAAATTGTAATTATTAAATAAATATTTTTTTAATCAAAATCCCGACCGCCGAAACATAACTTTCGTTATCTTATTATTTTATCGTAATTTATTCAATTATTTGCAAAAAAGAAACATACAATACTGCTAATCTCACAGATCTCGTTTGAGCCCCAATGTCGTGAGATTTGCATTCCTTAGTTCAGGATTATCAGAGAACGTCAAATAGATGGTAATGAAGAAAAACGTATAAATAGGTATTTATTTTCTTTAATAAGAAATGTTTATTTTAAACATTTTATAAATAAACTGTGCATACATTCTGAATGCATCTTTTTCAACGACTGACAACCAGCACATCAAGGTACCGGAAAATGCCACATCTCTTCATTCGATTTTTAACTTTATAGCAAATAGCATAAGGTTGAAAATTGAATATCAGATTGGTGTATCTCGATGTGCGCTTGACTCATACAAAGGTTTTTGACCGGACTGGCTGAATAATCTTAATTCCTTTGCCCTGACTGTTTTGGCGCGAAACGACGCCATCTTTGATTTCCTTTTTTTTAAGCACGAGTGTTTTTGTGTAATTTGAAAATAAGTACTTGATATTTATGTACTTTTAATAAGTTAAAAATTAATTATTTTAGATTTTCATTGCAATTAAATATTTAAAAATACATACTTTCCATAAGTTGTTTTAAGATATTTATACTTACTTTTCTATTTTTTTTTATTTTTTTTTTTAAGGAATAGGTACTCTATTTGACGCAAATAATTACACATGACGCAATCTCAAGGGACATAAGTGACACAGATGGGGCCCAGTAGGGCTGATGCCCGATACGGAGCCGCGGAGAACCTAACGGGTTACCGGGGCTCCGGCTCGACGTGCAGGAGAAGGAACGGGGTGGTTTTCAGTCAGTAAGAGTCTGAGACTCCCTTCCACCTCACCCAGGCGGGAGCAGTAATTCGATGATTTTCCCCCCATAAAAAAATTGAGTTTCTTGCTCGTTCTCCTCCATAGGAATCTACACCTTGGAATGACCAAATAGCTTCACTTTTAATTTTTTGTTGACGTTTAAAAGTGCCTTCCTTGTCTAATTGAAGTAAATGATTTTGACTTTGAAGGTTACTCTTTTCCAACCAGGTTCACAATACAATTCATTGAATGGTATTAACTCCCAAAAAACACATTGGACAACTGGACATAAATGGCAGAGCCGGTTCCAGACGCCGTGCTAATGCTAAGAATAGGGTAGTTTCTTAAATTTTATTTTAATATGTGTCTGGTACATTTATTTAAAACTTTAGACAAATATTTTTTTCTTTTCTCACAAAATTAAATACTTTCGACGATATATTAATTTGAAATATCGTGTGACGTCACAGCGTGCCACATTTTGTAGCACGTTATGACGTAACTACCTCCCACTCCTAAACTTAGCGCCATTTTATCTAAGTATTGCAACTTAATACGAGAAAATGAAAAAATACGTATCTAATATTTTTTCATTATGTAACTGACGGACTAATTAGATTTTTTATTTTGATACCCTGGAAACTACCGAATGTTAGATTTCTTCTCCAAAGCCATGAAGTAGGTAGGCTACCGTGGTAAGCCAATTTGTAAACCCGTTAGTTAGCACCGTTTGTATAATATCTATACTAGTAGATATTAGTAGCAATTTATGTTTGTTTGTTAGGAGTTGTCTTGGAAACTGCTAAACCGATTATGATGGTTGTAACATTTAGTTGCCTCCTTGGCCGAGTGGTCGCAAGTGCGACTGCCGGAAAAGGGATCTCGGGTTCGATTCCCATATCCGGCAAAGAATTACTGGATTTAACTCGTCGAGTACCGGTTTTATAGACACAATTAAAGAACAATAGGTCGCGGTCACCGGTGACCGCTTGGTGTTTGACAGATTAAAATAAAAATCTCAGTAGTAGCATGGTGACGGGAATTGATGTTTTTAAAAGGCTGGCAACGCACCTGTAACGCCTCTGGTGTTCCGGGTGTCCATGGACGGCGCTGATGGCTTACAATCAGGTGAACCGACTGCTCATTTGTCTCCTATTAACTCGTCGAGTACCGTATTTATAGACACAATTAAAGAACAATAGGTTGCGGTCACCGGTGACCGCTTGGTGTTTGACAGTTTAAAAAAAGTATATTTTACAACATCGTTTATTACTACAAGTAAAGCCACGTCCGAAAGCTAGTTAAGCAATAAATATGTTTTACTATAACTAAGTAATTACGGTAATCTTATATAATTGAAGTTCCGATCATGAATTATATTGGAAACTACTTATAATAAGGTCTTACAGCCGTACTCCGAGACATATAAGCTCTGACAAAGATATTTAGGCTTTGACAGAGATATTTAGGCTCTGGCAAAGATATATAGGCTCTGACAGAGATATTTAGGCTCTGACAGAGATATTAAGGCTCTGATAAAGATATTAAGGCTCTGATAAAGATATTTAGGCTCTGACAAAGATATTTAGGCTCTGACAAAGATATTTAGGCTCTATGAATATACACTATAAGACTATAACATAGTAAAACCACGCTTACGTTGTGTTTCGTCGTGTGAGTGAGGTTACCGGAGGCCCAATTACTCCCCTCTCTAGTCTCAGGAATCCTACATCATCCTCAAATTCCCAATTCCCACAAAGCTCGAAGTCAAAGTCAGAAAGCGGAAGCTCAAAGTCGCTCAGCGTGCGATGGAGAGAGCTATGCTCGGGGTTTCTTTGCGCGACAAAGTCCGAAATATGGAGATTCGCCAAAGAACAAGAGTTACCGACATAGTTCGCAAAATCTGCAGACTGAAGTGGCAATGGGCAGGCCACGTCGCTCGAAGGACTGACGGCAGATGGGCCAGGAAAGTCCTTGAGTGGAGACCACGGACCGGAAGACGAAGCGTGGGCAGGCCTCCCGCTAGGTGGACCGACGACATCGCCAGAGTTGCGGGGAGCCAGTGGATGCGGGTGGCGAGTTGTCGTTCGACGTGGAGGGCTAAAGGGGAGGCCTTTGTCCAGCAGTGGACGTCTTCAGGCTGTTGATGATGATGATGATGACAAAGCTCGAAACGCACTTGTAATGCCTTGGTGTTCCGGGTATTCATAGGCGACGCCATTGCTTACCATCAGGTGATCCGTCTGCTCGTTTACCGACTTATCCAATAAAAAAAATCTTATTTTAATTAATTTTAGACAATGGATCATATATACAATGTAACACCCACTTTCCACCAGGTATGTTATGAGTCCCGTGTAATAGGGAATTAATGTTATTTCTCTATATCATTATATATTGCACACACAGACACACATACATGCACACACACTTATGTATAATATTTATTTATTATATTATATTGTAGTAATATTTATTTTAGTATATATATTATTTGTTTGGTATGTAGGTATAGATAGTATTATTATGTAGGTATGTAGTGTTTTGATTATTATTGTACACTGGACGACTCCCTTTTTTTTCCAACTCCTGAATACTGGCTCCATCCAAAGGTTGTATGTAAGAAATCGCATTCTGCGATAAGACCGCCCATTTTACAAATTTTTTATGTTTATTTTTCGCTGTATGTTTTTATGGTGCACAATAAAATGTTAATAAATAAAAAATGAATAAAACAATGTGATTATTTTTCAACATTTTTTTCATATTAAAAGCTCATAAAAATATCGACAATTTTGACTGACGAAATTTCTGAATTTCATGTTAAATGTGGAAATACTCAAACGCTACTCTTAAGTCAAGCTTAACTATAGTTCTGTCTCAACAAATTCTTTGTAAAGTGACAGAGATAGCACGATATTTAAGTACAAATTAAAATTGAGAAGCCTTTCAATATTCGGGTGTAAATATTCTTAATTAGAATTCCTTTTAAAAAAATGTTCCAACTTCTTACTGGCACTTACAGATGATCTAAAACGAGTTTCTTCAAAGTAGGTCGCATACGTACAAATACATACACACTAATTTCTAAAGAAATTAGTGCTAGCCTACCCCTGATGACTCAGATACGCTTGCATGTGCAAAATTCAACCGATATACAAGAGTAGAAAATAAGTGCTGCTATTTCCGAAGCCGTAACACGAAACTGCATGACGGACCACAGTCTCACAACGACTCACACTCGCGCGGACGCGACACCGAACATAAATAACCTCTTTATTTAATCTGTGCACTGTCGATAGCCTATTTTTTTTCTATTGACTTTGTAACGAGCTGTCAGATTGTAATTTTCCCGCGTAATTGAATGAGGTTATAATTTTTTTTTTGTGTTTGTAAACAATCCGAGTTTTATTAATGTATTTTTAAGTGGTTTTCTAAGCGGAAGTTAGTGAGAAATCATACGGTTTATAGTGTGTTCGTTTGTGATTATAAAGTGATTATTGTGTATTTTTTTTTGCTTTTAAAAGTGTTCCCGCGTCATGTGTTCAAATTTTGAATTCTGAAGGTTGGTAGTGCAGTTGCGTGTTTTTTTTTTATGCAACGATAAATTTTTATTTAACCGTACAGGTACATTGCCGATTTCTTTTTAATGTTTCTTTTTTTATTTTCCTTTAGAAAGTAGGCAAAGTAGTTATGTAGGTATACAGTCTATTTATTTGTAATAATATTAAATAGGTATAGAGTATTTGTTTTAACTGATTATTATTCATCCTATTCGACAGGATGCCTTGTCTTCTACATTTAGTAAAGTACCTATTTAATTTTAAAAGGGTGTCACTGGACAGTGAACCTCGCTACCATCAGTTGACTGGACATCTACACTACACGAGTCACTGTTTACATGTCAACATTAGCTCATGACGATACCAGCGTACGTATGTCGCGTTCGATTTTTGAACATTTTGAAGCAGGCTCAATAGGACACCTTTTAGTATTATTTATTATGTTATTAGCCCATGTATCACAGTCATCACAGAACTTTTCGTTTATAATTTTCTAATAGACATATTCAATAGATTTTTCTCATTTAAATATTAACTTTTAAGTTAATAGAAACCAGTTTTCGTCGCGAAAGTTTAGTTTCTCGTAACTATAGTCTTGTAGTTAAGTGTTGTATTTTAATGAGCGGGTATTTATTTATGCAGTAAATATATATATATAGATATATAGATACTTGGCCAACGAGGCAGTCATATTACTATAGTGGTCGGATCTCGGGTAGGATTCCCGGGACAGGCAAAATATTATTGGGTTTCTTATAAAAAATCTCGGTAGTACCACGGAGTCTTGAATTAGGCCCGGTATATGGCAATAGACTCACCCCCTATTACATGGGACTCATAACATAAATAGTGAGAAGTGTGTGTTATATTGTACAATGGCATTAAGTGCTGTAATGTGCGCCTCTGTCTACCACTTAGGGGTTAAAAGGCATGATGTTATGTTATGTTATATACTTGTTTCCCTACATAGCTCTCTCATTCAGGGTGTAAACAGAACACTCCCAAAACGTTGACCGAAAACCGACGTGGAGCAACGCTTGCGTTGTATTTCGTCGTGTGAGTGAGGTTACCGGAGGCCCAATTATCCTCCCCTTCCCCGATCTCCGTAATCCCTGAATCTCCAACGATCCTCAAACTCCTAATCCCCAAAAGACCGGTAACGCACTTGTAACGCCTCTGGTGTTCCAGATATACATGGGCGACGCTGATTGCTTACTATCAGGTGATCCGTCTGCTCGTTTACCGGCTTATGCCTTGAGCTTGAGCAGTTGATTACTACTATTGTTATACAAAGAAACATTTAATTCCTTACTTTTAAGAAAATTAAACTTGTTTTTTACCATCACCTAGAGGCGTTTTCTGTAGCGTTCCGTTTACATCTTATACTATTATACACATAAAGCGGAAGAGTTTGTTTTTTTGATTGTTTGTTTGAACGCGCTAATCTCCGTAACTACAAGTCTGATTTGAATAATTCTTTTTGTGTTGGATAGTCCATTTATCAAGGAAGGCTATATGCAATAAAACATCACGCTACAACCAATAGGAGCTGAGCAGAGCGTGTGAAACCGCGCAAGTAGCTAGTACTGTATAATGGTTGTAGCCTATTGAAGATATCCGGAGCTGGGGACTATTTAACGGGTTCCTGCTATATGCAGGAGTAGGAACGGAGTGGTGTTTAGTCAGTAAGAGTCTGACATTCCCTCTCGCGTCACTCAAGGCGGGAGCAGTCATTCGATGACTTGTCTCCTTAGTCCATTCCGTGCCGAAGCATGCCCCAAACAACTTACCAGCACCTATGACCAACCAAAAAGGATAGACGTTTAGTTTATTTATCTAATACTATAAAGCAGTTGACCTCGATACGATTCACGACCTGGTTAGTCCTGTTCTCAAAATACTGTTATAAATACCTAACGAAGTATTATAATGCGAATATTCGTAAAATATCTTCGTTTTTAAACGTAATCAAAAATAACGGTAGTACAAGAACAGATTTTAAACGAATTTTGAGGTTGTCTAGACTAAAAATTTGTAATTCTATGTCTAGAATTGTGTTTGGATGTTTTTTTATGGCATAAGCCGGTAAACGAGCAGATGGATCACCTGATGGTAAGCAATCGTCGCCCTGGTACGTCGCCAGAGGCGTTACAAGTGCGTTACTAGCCTTTTGGGATTAGGACTTTGAGGATTGTTGGGGATTCAGGGATTGGGGAAGGGGGGGAGGGGTAATTGGGCCTCCGATAACCTCACTCACGCGATGAAACACAACGCAAGCGTTGTTTCACGTCGTCGGTCTTTTGCTCGGCCGTGGTATCACATGAGGAAGAGTCCCTGTGAATCGAAACTAATAGAGCTTTCGAATCTCAACAATATGGTTGAGTTGGGCGGTGCTGGTGTACGTGTCATGTTCGTGAACGGGCGCCGTCAACTAGGACTGGTCAGCTCCAGGCTGTATTATTTATTGTCCTTAAAGTTATTTTCTTTATCGATCTCTTTGACTGGATTTTAGTGTTACATTGTTCACGCACAATACAAACAGCAAACTATGTAACTAGAGAATTGTATTGTGAACCTGATTGAGAAAGAGTAACCTATAGAGTTTCTTGCTCGTTCTTCTCCATAGGAATCTACACCTTGGAATGAGCAAATAGCTCCACTTTTAATTTTTTTGTTGACGTCTAAAAGTTCTTTTTGTGTCTAATTGAAATAAATTATGTTGACCTTGACTTTGACTTTCGTCAGCAGGTATATTTACGGGAACCGTTGTTTTTACATACATACATAACATCACCTTTTATCCCCGAAGGGGTAAGCATAGGTGCACATTATGCCACTGTACAATGTAACACCCATTTTTCACTATTAATGTTACGAGTTCCATGTAATAAGGGGTGAGCCTGTTGCCAAAGACACAATTCCAGACTCCGTGCTACTACTGATAATTAAAACCCAGTAATACTTTGCCCGACCCGGGAATAGAACCCGAGACCCCTTGCTTGGCAGTCGCACTTGCGACCACTCGGCCAACGAGGCAGCAGTTATTTTTAGTTACTGATGATGATAAAAAATCCATTAACCAGTGTTTTACCTGACACTAGAAATGAACCGGAAAATTCTCGTGCCTGATTCATGCATACCCACCTCACGTGTCAAGTAACAACATTACGTAACACAACACCTGTTAAATATAGTTTGGCAACGATTGTCATTTATTTATACTAAATTGTAGCCAAGTACAATAATACACTAAGAAAGTATAACTTTCAACTCATTAGTATAATGCCAATATCGATTTCTAAAATTAACCCCACACTTGATTACGCGGAGAACCTAACGGGTTACCGGGGCTCCGGCTCGACGTGCAGGAGAACGGGGTGGTTTTTAGTCAGTAAGAGTCGATGATATTCCCCCCTCAAAAAAACAAACACCTGATTACTTGATTATTACTAAGGAGTGGAATTCTTTGCCAGAGTCTGTAGACTGTATTTCCTTAAGGGTATATATCTATAACCTGTGTGTCTTCAAGGCCCGAGTGAATAGGTTGCTTATGGGATGACGTGCTCCATCGTAGACCGCGTCATCGCTTACCACCAGGCGAGATAGTGGTCAAACTTCAGTCCCATCCCATCTAATATATAAAAAAAAATCTATATATATATAAATGAAACCCGTTTCCCGTTGTCACGCTATAACTTGAGAACGGCTAGACCGATTTGGCTGATTTTTCTTTGTTGTGTTTGTTATTGTCAGGAGAAGGTTCTTATGATAGAAAAAAGTGTTGAAAATCCTATGGGAAAGGGAGAAAACGGGTTTGCGCTTATGAAGTCGCGGGCAGAAGCTAGTATTTAATAGATTGTTTTATTTAGCTTGCCCCGTTTGTTTGTTTGGGTCTTTAGTATTAAACTGTCAAACACCAAGCGGTCACCGGTGACCGCGACCTATTGTTCTTTAATTGTGTCTATAAAACCGGTACTCGACGAGTTAAAGAAAAAGTCAAAAGTCCAAGCATTTATTTTAATTAGACCATAATTTGGTACTTTTGAAACGTCAACAAATATAAAATAAAAAATAGTCTTTCAATCCTTCCGTGAAGCTAGGTGCTCATTCCAAATTGTAGATTCGAATGAAAAAGAACGAGCAAGAAACTCCATTCGTTACTCTTTTTACAAAGTATGTTCTACAATGTCTCTGATACATATTCCAATACTGTACATATATGTGAGAACAATGCAAAAACACGCTTAACGTCAAATTACAAAACTTACTAAAATAAAAAAACAAAAATTAAAAACAAAACAAAACCTTTATGTCTAACATGATGCTCACATATGCATACTGACAATCCATAAGAGTAGTGCTTCTATACAAAAGGAGCCGCGGAGAACCTAACGGTAAGCTCCGGCTCGAAGTGCAGGAGTAGGAACGGGGTGGTTTTTAGTCAGTAAGAGTCTGACACTCCCTCTCGCCTCAGGTAGGCGGGAGCAGTAATTGGATGATACTCCCCCTCAAAAAAAATATACTTACCGTAAATTACTACACATTTGACAGAGACCGGTCAGTATTCACATAAGTGCTGTTTAAAATCATTGGCTTATATTTAACAACTGGTTAGTTAAATCGCTGTGAATAGTATGTTAATGTCGGAACAGTAAAAACTAGTTCTATGCGTTTCAATCGGCACGGTAGAAAGAATTTTTATTAACAGAGACATGAGTAATGAATGTAACAGAGACTAAACTAGGAAATTGTGATGTTATTTATTATTATATGTTTTTTACAATATCATAATAGTAAACTAAAATAGATAAATATGTACAAAGAATAAAACAGGACATAAAGAAACTAGAAATAAAAATTTAATACCGTACATTATTGACGCTTTGTCATTAGATTTCTAGGATTATTTTTTAGACAATTCTATCGTCGTCATCTCGTCTAAATAGGTCAAAGGGAAAGGTACGAATTAGTGTGTCCCTCCATTTGTGGGGTGGATACAAAT